CCCCCCCCCCCGAGTCTTGCAGATGGTTCACGCTCTCACCCAGTCCTGCATTATTCATGGTCTTTGTCCATGAGAAAGCCAATCCAGCAACACAAGCCTCATCTGATTCACATGCCAAACCCTTCTGGGCCCCTCTGCTTCAGTGCTGTTTGCTCTCTGTTTGATCCTGCTCTCTCCTGTTCTTTCTCGCTCCCTCTGCAGGTTCTGATGATGCTGTCCCTCCACACTTCAATACAGACATTTTAGGCTCTAGAGAGCTAGAAGACAACATAATTACATCAAAACACAAGGAAGGCATCTACAGTAAGAGGGCCAATATGAAGAGAGGTAAGATGCACATTAGTGTTTCTATTAGTATTAGTACAATATTTACTGAATTTAAAGAATAGTCCAAAAATTAAATGGTCATCATTTACCCATCCACATGTATGACACTATGCCATTTTTGTAATAGAAGCTTTGCTGTGGACTGTTGCTGTTACATAAAAAACATCAGCATATAATCTTCTTTGTCTCTTCCGCTGTCAGTTTCCAGTGTGTCTGGAAATGGTCTTCCAGCATCAGTAACCACTTTTGCTGGCCAAAATGACAATACTGCTCCTGAAGCTTATGTTTTTGAGAAGAGCATGGACACTGTTGGCATAGATGAGGAGTATAGAGATGAGGAAGAAAATTTTGTCCCCTTACACATGGAGGCAGACTACAGTACAGATGATGTGCATCTTCACTCTAGCACTATTCAGGAGCCCAAATTACCACTAGAACCACACCATTTCTCTTCTCAGCCAATCAAAAAGTCCTACAGGGGGGACAAGAAAAAGCAGGACAGAACACCTCATGATGTTAGCATAGAGATTAGCAGTTCTCTGGACCAGCTGTGGCGTCGCTTCAGTGAAAAATGGAGCATGGAGGAGACAAGACCAACTAATGAGGGAGAAACGTCACTGCTTGATAGACTGGAACGTCTGTCTTGTCTCATTCACAATACCTCTCCAACAGACCTAACTATACAACAGTCACACAGCAGGAAAGGAGAGTATTACAGGAGGAGTGATCGAGAGGCTGGGACCACAGAGGGAGAAGAGCAAAGAGAAAGAGTTCAGTTAGACGTGGCTCCACAACAAGCTTGGCCTGAGCATGAGGAGAATCAGGACAGAGTGGATCACTGTCCTGCTGAGAGAGATGAGTCTGTGAGTGTGGAGACGAGCAGTAGCCTGTCCACTATTGACACGGAGCGGCTGCTGCGAGCTTTTGGACCTCACCGGGTCACCAGTAAGGGACTGAAAAGCAGTGACAGCTTGCTCAGACTTTACAACACTATGAATATGCAGAAAACTGGCCGAAGGAAACCCCGTACTAAACATGTTGCCGTCTCTGTTGCTACCGATGATGTGAGCACTGATGACTCCACGGTAAGTTTTTGCTTGATTGAGTTCTTTAATACAGACTGTTCAGCTTCTTAGTTTTGAAAGATAATCAACAAATTAAAAAGAAAGATTTTGTTTTTACACATCTCAGTATATTCTAGCCGTTTGACCATTTTAAATATACATCAATGTTTTTCTATTGGCTCTTTATTTTTAAGAATGTCTTAAAAGGATTTTTTTTTTTTTTCAAACAAGAGGAACAATCATTTCCACAAACACGTTGTAACCTCAGTTTAGAGTAAGAAGTAAAGTGGAGTTAAAATTTTCCTGCATGCACCACTCTTTTGGGGTCTGTAAGATTTTATTTATTTTTTTTACATTTTTGAACGAAGTCTATTATGCTCACAAAGGCTGCATTTATTTGATTTTGAAAAATACAGTAAAACAATAATATTGTAAAATATTGTTACAATTTAAAATATCTATTTTGTTTTAATTTTAAAATGTAATTTATTCCTGTGAGTCTTCAGTGTCACACGATCCTTCAGAAATCATTCAATATGCTGATTTGATGCACAGGAAAAATTTATTATCAATGTTGAAAAGTTTTAATACTTTTGTCTAATATTTTTATCAGGATTTTTTTGATGAATAGAAGGTTCATGTACAACATTATTTGCCATAAAAATATTTTATCATTATGTCTTTATTGTCACTTTTGATCAATTTAATGAGTTCTTGCTGAATAAAATGGTCTGTAAAACAAATAATCTTACTGACACCAAACACTTGAACGGTTGTGTATGCTTTTACTTAAACCTTTTAATGTCTAAAAAATGTTGTTTTTTGATGCCATGTCCTGACTTCAGTGAATGTTTTTGAGTGGTGATGAGAAGGATTGTTGAACAAGAGTTTTAAATCAATTTATTCAAATAGTTTCAACTGATTTACAGATATGAAGTTGTTGTTTTTTCCTCGTCATTTTCATTACATCTCCATCTCAGCGCACTCAAAAGAAAGACTGGGAGAGGTTGCGAAACTAGTGTAAACACATTGTCTGGGGAAAATTATAATATTAATTTTACACTGTCAGCAAAATAATCACATGTATTGTGTGTAAAATATATCACAAAGATCTAGTGTAAAGATCCAGTAGTAGCTTATACTCTGCATTTTTGACTGAGAGACTGTCATTCTTTCCTTATTATCTAACTGTCTAATCTTCTGTTATTGTTCCAGGTCTCTGCTGATTCTTTATCATCTTCAAGCACTTTATCCCATCATTCTCAAAGAGGTGTTTCCCAAAACCTCAATTCCAAAAGGTCAAAGGTCAAACTAGTCAGCAAAGGTGTGCAGGCAGGTCAGTTACACAACAATGGTCCGCTTTTTAAACTAAGCAACGTGTAAATTAGACAGAGTAACTGCAACAAAATATGTTGTGGGATTTTGTATTCTTTTTGCAGGTGATTTGGAAATTGTTGTAAATGGCACCCACAGACACACTCGGGACGTAGGCACCATCTTTCCCTCACCAGGTGCTTTCAAAAATGTCCGTTCATCAAACACATTTGGCAGAAGCATTCAGAGTGGCTTTCCCATCCCCACTGCTTCCACATCTAAACCCACCCAAACCCTGACTGCTCTGAAGAAAGACCCCAGCAACAAGAGCATTCGGACACGCTACCCAAACGGTGCATATTACATGCTCACAGACACAGCATTTTTCTGCAACTCATCTTTTTCTCCTTTTCTCTTACTGTTTTATACATCACATTCTCTTTAAGGTGTGTCATGGTTTGTCTCAGCTGATGAGCTTACGTGTGATGGTCGCAAGGAAAACCAGCCACAGACCGAATCAGCACCTTGCCCAAGCCAAGTCTGGTTTAAGCCTTACACTAGAACCAGACCCTGGAGAGAAACAACCAGAGAACCACTAAGAGAGAGACAGAATCAGCAAGAGCAAGAGAGGCCAACAGAGTCCATAACAGCTACAGAGAAAGCTCTTGTTCGACTTTCACTACAGGTGTGTGACGAGCAACTGTTTTATTTATCCATTTTAAAGCTTGTTCACACCAAGGACGATAATTATAATGATAACCAAGAATGCTAACTAGAACAGTATCATTGAAGCTTGGACCAGATTTTGAATGTTCATTTTGGATCCTGCTGTGTGGTTTTAGCGAGTACATGGAAGTTGATTGTTGATTTTAAGGTCCTTGCACAATGAGTCCGAAATTTACGTATGCGTTTTTTTTTTTCCGTATTCGTCATCCTATCCAATCAAAATGCTTGCTACGGATGCGAAAATCGAATATGGTCCTAATTTTTTTATGACGGACGAAAGTTTCGGAGGCAGTGTGTAAACGTGATTGACGCAACGTGAGGTCATATTTATTTTTTAACGTGCAAAAATTTCAGACGAGAATTTCGGACTCAGTGTGCAAAGACCTTTAGTCTAACATGGAGCATTTGCATTGATGGTTTTCCTACAGGAAGCTCTGGAGCTCCATCGGCCAGAGTTTGTGTCTCGTTCACGGGAGCGGATGAAGCGTCTGGGGTTACTGGTTGAGGAGAGGAGGTTACAGGCAGTCTTCAACAGAGAGAGAGAAGAGCTCTTCAACTGCCCCGCACCATCACGTCCATACAGACCAGGTGACCTTATAACATAAGATTACTAGTGTGTTGTTATGCGAGTATTCAGTTCATTATATATTTTACAAGCTTTGTACAGCTTGCATTAAGATGTAAACTAAAACATGCCCCTGTCAGCAGCTCCAGTACCCTGTAAACGAGTCGTTCCAAGAAGAGAGATGGTCCAAAGATCCAAAGAGTAAGTATCCATTGTATCTTTTTCAAACAATCAAGATGGTTTATGACAGAGACAATGCACATATTACCAAATTGTGCATATATGGGTCATTTAACATTTAAAAAGCATTTTGTGCCTTCTACATGCTTTCAGTTGGGTAGGGATGAAATCGCACAGTCAGAGAATAGACAGGACAGACAGACTCAGGAGGTAATAGTGTGTGTGTTTTGTGTGTGTGTGTGTGCGTGCGTGGTTTTGTTTGAGTGTCTCTCTATCAGGTTTATTAACATTAAAAAGAGAACCATTTTCATTACTTCATAAAAACCTTTCAGCAAGTTTCCAAGGCAACGTTTCTCATTTTCATTTAGTTAAAGTCAGTACAAGATGTATTTAATCTGTCTAGTACACTGGACGCGACAAAGCGACCGTTGAAAATCATTTGAAATTTGTGTCAATACGTCATAAATGGAACAGCAGCAGTTTTCTGTCATGGATTTGTCGTGCCGCGCCGCATCCAGTGTAGACCATAGATATGTATATATATCTATGGTGTAGACAGAATCACTGATTATAATGAGTTCTATAGTATTTTGCGCCACTCGCCTCTGGTGTAGACACGGTGTAACATTGGTTTTGCTTTGTTTCACAGAACTAATCGTTGCCTGGGTTGCGTACGTATGT